TTTTTTTTTTTTTAATATATATTTGTAAACTGTCATTCAGGACAGTTAAATTTTTTTTATTAGTTGTTCAAAACATTACAAAGCTCTTGATGTATCGGCATTTCTTACTTTCATATTACTAGCATTTATGTTAAAATTTTTAAAAATTTGTTCTGTTTAGATGTACATGACAGTACATTATACATATGTATTATACATACATGGAATATGACTTAGGATCCCATTCTTATTGCTAACTGGAGCACAACATTTTATAAAGGTTTTTATTTTTTATTTTTTTTTTTGTCTCTATGTCATTCAGTATCTTTGCGGGGATTGAATCCAGGACCTCATGGACACAAAAGTTCGAGGATGCTCAAGTTGCTTATAAAATGGTGTGGTATTCATATTACCTATGCACATCCTCCCAAATCCATTACATAATCTCTTTATTACTTATTATATTGGATTCAATATAAATTCTATGTAAAAAATGTTAAGACTATAGGGAATAATGTTTAGGGAATAATAAGAAGGAATAGAAGTCTGTGTTCAGTACAGATGCAGGGTTTTTTTTGTGGGGGGGACAGTGGAAATTGAACCCAGGGCACTTTACCACTAAGCTACTTCCTCACTCCTTTTTATTTTTTTAATTTTAAGACAAGGGTCTCACTAAGTTGCTTAGAGCCTTTTTAAGTTGCTCTGGCTGGCTTTGAACTTGTGATCCTCCTGCTTCATCCTGAGTTGCTGAGATATGGCATACACCACCACACCTAGCTTCCAGATTTTGACTGCAGTTGTTTGAATTCACAAATGCTGAACCCTTGCATATAGAGGGAGTATTGTCAGCACTGTTCTGTTTCCTAAGTTACTTTACCTTCAAGAAACTCTTATTTCTGAGATAGCTATATTATCAATGATATTTCATAAAACATTGACCTCAAATTTGCCTATTTGATTGATTTTTAATTTGGTTAACCATTTAGCATACTTAGGTCACTTGTTACTTGTTTTAAAATTACTCTTTGAAAGCTATTAAAAAGTTTAGCCTACTAAACTTTCAGTGCCAAGTGTGATCAAGATGCCTCTAGTGAACTTGGAATGGAACCACCATTTGACCCAGCTATCCCACTTCTTAGTCTATACTCAGAGGACTTAAAAACAACATACTACAGTAATACAGCCACATCAGTGTTCATAGCAGCACATTTCACTGTACTCAAACTGTGGAACCAACCTAGATTACTTTCAGTAGTTGAATGGATAAAGAAACTGTGGTATATATACACAATGGAGTATTACTCAACAATAAAAGAGAATAAAATTATGGCATTTGCAGATAAATGGATGGAGTTAAAGAATATCATGCTAAGCAAAGTAAGCTCCCAAAAAACCAAAGGCCAAATGTTTTATATGATTAGTAGATGCTAATCCATAATGGGGGCGGGGCTTGGATGAGTGGAGGAACTTTGGATGGGGTGGGGAAAAGAGGGGTAGGGGGAGGAATGGGGATGGGAAAGATGTTGAAATGAGATGGACATCATTCCCTAGGTACATGTATGATTGCATGAATGGTGTGACCTTACTTTGGGTACAGAGAAGCCAAAAATTGTGCTTCATTTGTGATTAATGAATCAAAGAGCATTCTGCTGTCACATATAACTTATTAGAAAAAAGAAATAAATTAAAATTTATAAAAGATGCCTCTAGTGATTAGCATTTTAAAGAATTTAAAGCATTTTCATTCCAAACGAAAACAATCTACTTTTTGTTTTTTTGGTGGTGGGGGTAGAACCTAGGGCTTCACAGATGCCAAGCAGACACTCTACTACCCACAGTGTAATACACATTTAAAATTAGAGTTTTTCAAGAATAGAGAGAATTCTTTTTTTTTTTTTTTAAGAGTGAGTGAGAGAGGAGAGAGAGAGTGAGAGAGAGAGAGAGAGAATTTTTAATATTTATTTTTTAGTTCTCGGCGGACACAACATCTTTGTTGATATGTGGTGCTGAGGATCGAACCCGGGCTGCACGCATGCCAGGCGAGCGCGCTACCGCTTGAGCCACATCCCAGCCCTGAGAGAATTCTTTAAAAAATAATTTTACAAAAATCAACATTTAGGGAGGAATGGTGGAATAAAATTGACCAAACTATCCTATGTACATGTATGAATATACTGCAGTGAATTTTACCTTTATGTATATCTATAAAGCACTAATTTATTAACTAAATAGAAGACCAGCAGAGTAGAGGAAAGGGAACAACAGGTAGGAGCAGAGGAGGGAATAGGGAAGTACTAGGGACTGAATTGGAACAAATTATATTCCATGTTTGTATAATCATGTCAAAATGAACCCTAAAATTTTGTATAACTAAAACACTAATAAAAATCCATATTTATAATTTTTATAAATGGGGAAAAAGTCTTTTGAGCTTGAAGATGCACTTAAATTGTATAGTTTTGTTTTATGTTTATCTTTCTGGGGGAAAGGATCTGTTTTCATTATATTCTCAAAGGAGTTCATAATTCAAAAAAGTTTGAGTTACTACTTGGATGAAGAAAGAAAACACAAATACCTTAGTGAGAAATAGTATTTCATTTAGAGTCTCTACATTTATCTGTTTTAATTTGTTTTAAGGAAAGGCCTAGAAGTATAAGTTACTTTGGAATATTTTCATTATTTCCAGCCTTTTCCCATGAAAGGAAATTGTAGAAAAAAGATTTCTGTTTAGAGATAAATAGTTCTGGTGGTCTAAGACCTATGACATCATAAAAAAATTTTTTCTTCTTCTTTTTTGCCATCTTTACTTAAAGTGATACAGATGTAAAGCCCCCAGTATTACAAACTGTGAAAAATTTTGAAGCTTGAATTATCTTGGTAGTTGTAAGTAATAACTGTAGAGTAAGCTTATATTGAATAGTGACTGCTAAACAGGGATGGATTATTCAAGCTTTTCTGCAGTCAAACTGGGTGCCTAAGAAGCGTAGCAGACATGAGCCGTGCATCCATTGTGGTGTTTCTCTTATCAGTCGGAAAGGAATTCTGAATAAGCAGAGTAGTAGTAAAGTTTTTTGTTAGAAGTTTAATAACACAGCATTTTAAGTATTACTTGATAAGCATCTGTTTTCTGTAAAGTGGTATTTTATCCATAGGCACACACACAAACAACCCCGAGTCACTGGGAAGGATTACAGGCATGTGCTACCTCGGCTGACTGGGAATATCTTTTTCTTTTCTTTTTGAGTTTCAGATTATGTATGTATGTATGTATGTATGTATGTATGTATGTGGTGCTAGGATTAAATCCAGTGCCTCACACATGCTAGGCAAGCGCTCTGCCACTGAGCTACAGCCCTAGCCCAGGAACATCATTTTCAAAGCAGGTCATAAAGTAATTATGTTTCCTTATTTGTTACTTTTTACTTATATATATAGACAAAATATTGAAATGACTTAGCACACCTCATAGTTGATGCTTTTTTATTTAGTGTTAACTTATACCTTCTGCCTACATTCGATTGTAGCTTTTCTGAAGGCAGGGATAGATAATAAGATACTCATCTGGCATATAGTAAGTAGCTAGTAGAAGCTCATGAATTAATGAATGACTTATCAATTTCCCTCTCTTTATGTTTACTATAAACCTTTACTTCTCCTATATATAGTCATCTTTAGATTAATATTCTGGATAAATAAAGAATGGCTTTTCATTGGATTTTTGCAGAAGCCTCACAAATATGGAATATTCCTATAGAAAAGTATAAGACAGGGCTGGGGCTGTAGCTCAGTGACAGTGCTTTCTAGCATGTGCAAGGCACTGGTTCTATCCTCAGCACCAGATAAAGAATAAATTGATAAAGATATTGTGTATCCCTCTACAACTAAAAAAAAAAAATTTAAAAAGAAAGAAAAATACAGGACAGAGGTGTTAAACCTGTTGTTTAAACCTGTTTTGTTTGTTTGTTTTTTGTATTGCTTTATTTTACATGGAGTTTGTAGAAAGATTTCAGAGGTCATTGAGCCTCCTAAGGGAAATAGAGTTTGGGGTGGGTAAGGGCATCTTTTTTTTTAAATATTTATTTATTTATTTTAGTTCTTGGCGGACACAACATCTTTGTTTGTATGTGGTGGTGAGGATCGAACCCAGACACATGCCAGGCCAGCGCACTACTTCTTGAGCCACATCCCCAGCCCTAAGGGCATCTTTTAATGGGGAAACATCATTTATAGATGTATCGAATTTCCAAATGGAACTGTGGATTCTCAAATGATTAAAGACCAATGTTTTAGAGGTTGTAGGTTTCAAGCTTTAAAAATCAGGAAAAGATTGGATCAGATGACCTTTGAGGGAAAGCAGATGACTGTGTTAGGATGTTTCACATTCTTGTGATAGAAACCAGCTCGAACAAATTGATATTAAGAAGAAATCTACTGGTTTATATAATTAAAACACACACACAATTTGAATTTTTCTTCTTTCTCTTTTGTTTTCTTCTATATTGTCTTTTTTCTCAGGATTGCTCTCTCTCTTATGTTGGAATAAGAGATCAGTCTGGAGCTTACATGTGCTAAGTTCTTAGAAGTTTTAAGCTTCCAGAGGAGGAGAAGGTGGTGTCTTAAGTTTGCTTTCTATTGCTGTAACATAATATCTGAGATGGGATAATTCGTAAAGAAAAGAAGTTATTTTGGCTCACAGTTCTAGTGGCATTTGGAAATCCAAGATGGGCAGTTGGTGAGGGCTTTGTTTTGCTTCAATTCATGTCCCAAAGTGGAAGGGCAAGTGGGCATGTGTGGAAGAGACAATATGAGGGACTGCCTCACTTGCTTTACATCTTGCTCTTGGATTGACTAATCCAATTCCTCAAGAGCAGTGTCCTTATATAACAAAGGTATTTTATCCAACTTAACAATCTAATTCCCTCTTAAAGATCCTACCACCTTCTAACACTGCTACACTGAGAATCAGATTTCAAAATGAATTTTGATAGGGACAAATTATATCTGAGCCATAACAGGTAGTATTTTTTTCTAATAACTGGTAGATGTCCCAGAAAGAACCTTAACCAGTCTAGATCATTTCCCCTTAGGGAGATGGAGTCAGTACCAATCAGATTACAGGACTAATAGAATTAATGTGAAACTGGGTAGAGGAATTTCCCCAAAGAAAGGCAATGTGTGTGGGAAAAAAAAATTATTTTTTTTTCTCTATAGTGATTAAAAAGCTTGAGGACAAATAACATAGGTAATGGACTGAAAATTGAACGTGAAAATTAGTGTATATTTAGAGAAGCCAAATTTGTTTTGTGTATGACTTATAATATTTTTCTATATGGATTTCAGATTACTCAAAGTTTTATTCAGTTATTGGTTCCTCATTTAACAAATATTGGAGAATATGCTATGTTCTGTCATCATTTTTTGTACCAGGATTGTAGCAGTGAGTAAAACAAATGTCCTTGCTTTCATGGAGCCTACATTCTATTGAGGACAGGCACATAATAAATAAGATAAATTACTGAAATATATAACATGCTAGATGGAGAGAAGCGCTCTGGAGGAAATAAGCAGAGAGAGGAGATAGGGAATGATTATTACAGTCTTAAGTAGGATGGCCAAAGAAGATCTTGCTAAGGTCTTGTTTGTTTGTTTGTTTGTTTTTAAAGAAAGTGTCATTTGAGTTAGGACATAAAGGAGGGTGAGGAGGGAGCAAGCCATTTGGATATCTGGAAGACGAAATTTCCAAGCAGCAGGAAGCAAATGCAAAGGCTCAGAGTGTTGAAAAAACTGCTAGAACCTTGAATCAGAGAATGAGAAGAAGGGATAAATTAGGAGGAGGAATAAATATGGGATGACATCAATGAAGTAAGGGGATGGCAGGAGCAAATTGTCTAGGTCCTGGGAGGCCATGGTAAGGGTTATGGGGAAGAATACAAAAAACATCAGAGAGTCTTGAGCAGGAGAAAATTAATCTTAGTTTATTTTTTTAATAAATTTTTGTTGATTTTTACTTGTAGTTGAACACAATAAACCTTTATTTTATGTATTTTTATGTGGTGCTGTGCCTCTCATGTGCTAGGTAAGTGCTTTACCATTGAGTTATATAACCCCAGCCCTAATCTGAATTAGTTTTTAAAGGATCACCCTAATACTGAGTTGAGAATGTATTGTAGAGGCCCAAGTGGAAGTGAGGAGACCAACAAAGAGGCTATTGTATAACAATAATCCAAGCAATAGATATTGGTGGCATAGACAAGGGTGGGGGTGGAGATGATAAAAAATGGTTGGAGGTATCCTTATTGGGTCCCCTCTTGGCCTACTGGACTTGGTCTCTTCTCATTTGAATAAATTTTACTCTTTTACATTCACTCTTGCTCATCTGTAGATTTTATCCTTCAGATTCATGAAACAAGAGCCTGGAAAGGGGGCACTGGTGGGCAGCTGGGCTCTGCTGCAATACTGTAGTGCAAAGACTGAAAATCCAGTTTCATCTTTGGGGGCTCATCCTGGATCCTTTGGAAAGTATCATTCCGGCCCTTTGTATATCTTTTTTTTTTTAACTTTTTTTTTTTGCTTTATTTTTAGTAGCTCATTTTTCTTCAATATTGTATTTTATTCCATATAAATTACTTTCAGACTGTATAATCAATTAGCTGAAGTGAAACAACAAAAGGTAGAGAAAGCAAAACAAGAAGCTTATGCCCAGAACAGAGAAAGGGCAAAAGAATTTCATAAGGTAAACAAGCCTCCTCCCTTCTTACATTTAGCGCATATCACAATAGGAACTGCTGCTGCTTATTTTTTATTTATTCTCTCCACAGAAAACACTAGAGAAACTTCGAGCCAAAAATACAGGCTGACTCTTCTTTAGAATGGTGTTTTTCTTTTAAAAGTGTGTAATTTTAAGTCAATAAATTTTTATTTAAAGAATTTCCATTGTGATTCCTTTGTTGTCCATTCCAAGAATACCCTTTTTAGAAGATCTGATGCTTATCTGTTTGTTTCAAGAGCCTAGATGATTTCACAATTCTCCACTTAAGTTATTCAGGATTTAATTTCTTCAAGTAATTTGACTTTAGGATCCTATTATCATACTCAGTAGTACAGTTGTGGAATATGCCAATATCTAAGATAAAAAGAAAAATTAGGTCTTTCATACTTTTTAATTGTCTTGTAGTTACTTCCCACAGGCCTAACAAACAGTCCTATGAGGAAAGCAAAACCACAGAATTAACTCTATTAGGCGTTTCCAACAGTGGCTACAAGAGAAGCCCCATCGGGATAGACCTCAACCCCTTTGTATATCTTATCCAGTCACCAACTGCCACCATAGACTTCTGGACTACCCTGATATGTGAGATTCCCAAACTACAAATGGGTTTACAGATGGAATCCAAAACCAAACTCCTACTGGGGGCCCTTAAATAGGCCTCTGTAGAAGGACCCTGACTACCATCCTCTTTTTAACACCCCTTTTCAGGCTGTGTAGGCAGAAGTCATTCCTTCTTCCCCTAATGGCAGTTAGGGGCACTTCTTCTGAAGGGGGGGAATGAATAGGATAGGTAATGGACCCCATTTAAGTCTTTTTAAATGTAAAGACCACTCTGAGAGGTTAACCTATAGAAATATTCCAAAAATTCAGTCAATTCTTTTGTCCTAGATGATGGGAATAGAGAGGCAGGACCTGTCTGAATGAAGTCTACAGATTCAAGGGTTTGCCAAAACCTTAACATCTTCCCATACCTGTTTAGCATAGATTTTGACCAATAACACTGGTACTTTTCCAAGACCTGATTATCATAGATATTGGTCGGTATGTCTACCTAGTAACTGCATAAGCCCCTAGACTAGTATGTGTAAATGGCAACCCTTTTGGGTCCCCTCTTGCCCTGTGGAAGCTGTGTCTCTTCTCACTGGATTAAATGCTACGCTTTTACCCTTAAAAAAAAAAAAATTGGATCTGAGGTAGATTTGCGGATAGGAGGAGGTATTAGAGAATGAGAAGAGTCAAAGTTGACTCTAAAGTTTTGGGCCTGAACAAATGACCATAGATAGTAAAATTTTTCCTCCCCTGTGGTGCTGGGGATTGAACCCAGGGGCACTCTACGACAAAGCTATACAAACCCTCATTCCTTTTTATTTTATTTTGATATAGGATCTCACTAAGTTGCCCAGGCTGGTCTCTTGTGATTTCCTCCCTAAGCCTTCTGAGTTGCTGGGATTACGGGTGTGCACTAATTTTGACATACTAAGTTTAAGATGACTATTCGAGGGGACTGGCGTTGTGGTTCAGCAGTAGAATGCTTGCCTAGCATGTGTGAGGCTCTGGGTTCAATGCTCAGCACCACATAAAAATAAATTAATAAACTAAAGGTATTGTGTCCATCTACAACTAAAAATATTTTTTTAACTAAAAATATTTTTTAAAAATGACTATTGGACATCTAAATAAAATGTCCATTAGATTATAGTATATTCAAATCTGAAATTCAGGTCTGGGCTAGAGATAGAAATTTGTCAGCATATGGTTAGTATTTAATGCCATGAAAATGGATGAGATCACCAAAGAATAAGTGAAAAAGGAAGACAAAAGTTGTCTAAAGACCAATGTGAAGAAGTTGGGAAGAAGGCACTAATCAAGAGGATTGAGAAGAGCAGCTATGTAGAATTTTAGAATAATTAAATTCTTAACAAGGAAAAATCCTGGAAGCTAAATGAGAAAAAAAGTGTTTTAAGGAGGAGTGCGTGATGAGTTGTCAGATGCTGTTGATATATCAAGTAAGATGAAGACCAAGATTTAATGATTGCATTTAACTATTATCTCCTTGAGGATGGGTGTAACAAACTATAAATGTGGTTATTGGAGACATTCCTAGCCCCTGATCTCTTCTTAGAAATTTAAACACTGTGGTTCAGGTGCAATCAAGAGCACTTACTACTGATTTTATTTTTATTTTATTATTATTTTATTTGTGTTGGATTGAATTCAGTGTCTTCTGCATGTTGGGCAAGAGATACTGAAATACACCCCCAACCCGAAGACTGCTTATTAATCACATAATTCATTAACAAATTTTATTATTTCATTATTCTCTTATTTTTCATTATACATACTATATATTAAAAATAATATTTTGAGCTCAAGATGAATATGTAAGTATGCTAATGGATTTATATGTTTGTAGTAGGACATGTGTATTTCCTTTGAAATACTTATTATATGAAGGGAAAAAAACACTGTTATTTTGTCATATTTATACTTCTGTATTTGGAGGTTTTTAGGTGTAATTTTTTTTAAAGAGAGAGTGAGAGAGGAGAGAGAGAGAGAGAGAATTTTTAATATTTATTTTTTAGTTCTCGGCAGACACAACATCTTTGTTGGTATGTGGTGCTGAGGATCGAACCCGGGCCGCACAGCGCGCTACCGCTTGAGCCACATCCCCAGCCCCCTAGGTGTAATTTTTATAGAGAAACTAAATTTACAATTCTGAGATTTCTGTAAGTAGTTAATACTTGTTATTCTTGATAATAGAAAGCACAGGAGTTGAGAATGTAAAAAAGATTTTCACTTCTCTAATGAAAATGTGTATTGTTCTTTATTAGAAATTCATTGAATTCGAAGATTCTCAAGAACAGGAAAAAAAGGATTTACAGACCCGAGTGGAATCTCTAGAATCTCAAACAAGACAACTTGAACTCAAAGCAAAAAACTATGCTGATCAGAGTAAGTAAAAATACGTCTGCACATAAATACATGTTAAAGAGAGAACTCTAATAGTACAATAATTCACCTTGACATTTGAAAAGAGTTCCAAATATATACTTAAAATGGTTGTCCCAGACTCAAAAGTAAGACCTGGGTGTTGGGGTTAGTTCTTTTTCTTCACTTTTCACATAGTACCCATGTATGCACAAATGGCTAAATCAAAAATACTTAAGACTCACATCTTCAATTTAGTTTTCAGTCCATTTGTAGTTAACATTTTACTATATCCATTATGCATGTGCGTATGTGTGGATCATTTCTTCTAATTTTGATCAAGTACACAAAGTTGCATTGTTTCTGTATGTTTCTGAAGTTTAAAAATGTAAGAGAAACTCAAGTTTGAAAGTATATATAAAAAAATGAAGTCTCTTTTTTTGTTCCCTTCTAATCGAAATGTAAGGGTATTTAAGGGAACAGAAGTCCATTTTTTTAGATTAATTTTATTTTTAATATAATTTAATATAATTTCATGTTATTCTTGACTTTTAAAATAATTGTTTTAGCAGTTTATGGTGGCACATACTTGTAATCACAGCAACTCAGGAAGCTGACGCAGGATCACAGGTTCGAGGCCAGCTTCAACAATTTGTGAGGCCCTAAGCAAATTAGTGAGAACCTGTCTCAAAAATAAAAAGGGATGGCCTTTCTCTGATATAAGGAGGCTGATTCATAGTGGGGTAGGGAGGGAGAGCATGGGAGGATTAGATGATTTCTAGATAGGGAAGAGGGGTGGGAGGGAAAGGGAGGGGGCAGGGGATTAGCAAGGATGGTGGAATGTAATGGACATCATTATACAAAGTACATGTATGAAGACTTGAATTGGGTGTCAACATAATTTATATACAAGATATGAAAAATTGTTTTAAAAAATCCAGATTCAGAAAGTAAAAAATAAATAAATAAATAAAAAGGGATGGGGATATGACTCAATGGTAAAGCAACCCTGGTTTCAATTCCTGGTACCAAAAAATAAAATAAAAAATTAAAAAAGTAATTGTTTCAAACCTCAAGGTTGGTTTCCCCTTTTTGGCTAATGAAAATAGACCTAATCAAGTCAAAACTAAAAAGTGAGAAACTTCATGACCTATTTTCATATCTGACATAGGTAAATAAAGAGTTCTCTGCTTTTTCATCCCAGCATTGTAAACTTTCAGAATTCCAGGGAACCAAGAGATGGTCAGGCAGTTTTACTCTTTCCCACATCAACCATGAGGCTCTTTAGTGACACCTGCTGTTAAGGGACTGCCATTCATGATGAGTAGCTTTTGCCACCTGGCTTGGAATGTGAGAACTGAGTGTGTGTCTTCTAAACCTCTAAAAGGACCTAATAGAGCTAAATCAAAATCACTGGAAACCTGGAGTTCATTCTGGAATTAAAAAAAAAATTCATATGACTATTAAGCAATATCATAGAAGAGAGTTAATAGATATTTTGCAACAAATATCAATAAAATGAGCCATATGTCATATGTCAATTTAGGCTTGAAGATACCTAGAATTATATTCCTTTCCTTGGTTAACATGGAATACATTGAGCAACTGCTATGATTCTATTCTAGGTTCTACGTAGACTACTCGGTACATACACTCTTACATAACTGGAGTCACATTACTGTGGACCACTCATCTGGAAAAACTGTCTTGTGGCAAATGCAAGCTTTTGCAACATTTTAAGGATTGAGTGTTCTCTAACAAAAAAGAAAATTTAGCTAGCAAAGATAATGTTTTAGGAGTTGGGGTTGTGGCTCAGTGGTAGAGCACTTGCCTAGCATGTGTGAGGTACTGGATTCAATTCTTTTTTCTTTTTTTTAAAGAGAGAGTGAGAGAGGAGAGAGAGAGGAGAGAATTTTTTTTAATATTTATTTTTTAGTTCTCGGTGGACACAACATCTTTGTTGGTATGTGATGCTGAGGATCGAACCCGGGCCGCACGCATGCCAGGCGAGCGCGCTACCGCTTCAGCCACATCCCCAGCCCCGGGTTCAATTCTTAGCACCACATATAAATAAATGAATAAAATAAAGGTCCATTAACATCTAAAAAATATATTTAAAAAAAGATAATGTTTTAATTCTCATTTTCATATTGGGGATTAGATAGTATTTTTAGAACCAAACATTAAAGGCACAATTGGCAGAGTCAATCTAATTTTCATTTGTTTAAAATATTAAATTTTTTCTTGATTTCTAAAAAGTGCCAAGTTTTCAGTAGACATTTTTCTTTTGACTTGGAAAGAAATTCTTTATTTAAAATCCATTTATGCATTAAGTAATCTGCTTGTGTGGAAAGAAAGAGGAAGAATCACCTTTTATTGAAATTGCATTTTTTATGTCACAGTACCATAAAATGTAAAATGTCTGTCACATTCAGAGAAAATACTGCTGCTTTTTTTTTTTAAACAAAAGTAAATGGAATGAGTTACTCATTTGTTCATAGGCATATTAGCCTTTTGATTCTAAGATTTAAAAATTTATTTTCTGTTCCTTCTTATAAGAATAAAAAAAAAAAACCCAGTTTCCTAACTAAGGTAAATAGTCAATTTAGGAGAATTATTTATCTCAGTGTCCAGTCTAGTGACGCACATTCAGCTTTTTGGAAATCATCACATTCTGTTGTATCCTAAGTATGTAAATCTAAGTATGTACATTGAACTTTTCCCCTTAGTCTTTATCTTGTTACATTTAAATATAATCCCACCTATTTTTGGAAAATATTTGACTATTTTTTCCCTTTATTCTTTCCAGAAAGTATTATCATGTTTTTATTGTAATTCAAAGACATTTTTAAAAATTAGGTTTCTTTTAAAATTGATAATACTCTAGGGAAGGAAGGAATAAATTCTATATTAAATATTGAATCAGGTCTTGAGTTTAATTTGATCTGAAAACTTTATTTTTCTTATTAATATATCTTCCCACAAATTTATCCAGTGAGTCTCTTATCCCATTTTGAAATTTATCTTGGTGTCCAAATAAAAATTAAAGAGGGGCTGGGGATATGGCTTAAGTGGTAGTGTGCTCACCTGGCATGCATGAGGCACTGGGTTCGATCCTCAGCACCACATAAAAATATTAAATATGTTGTGTCCACCTAAAAAAACTAAAAAATAAATATAAAAAAATAACAATTAAAGAACGTACAACTTTGGTTAAGTATAATTGACCATTCAGATATAGAGTTTATACAACTAAATTTTTTGATTCACCAAGTGAAGCTGTAAATGAGTTCTCTATTATTAATACTTTAAAACTTATTCCCTCTGCTCTCTGCTTTTGAGATCTTGGAGTCTTTTTGTGTTTTCTAATTGTTTTTCTCTCACTTTCTTCTATTTTCCTCTAATCCTTAACTGGGGCTATGAAATCTAAGTATATACATTGAACTTTTCCCCCTAGTCTTTATCTTGTTACATTTAAATATAATCCCACCTATTTTTGGAAAATATTTGACTTTTTTTTCCCTTTATTCTGTGAGTTTTCTCTCCCTGAAATCTCCAATATGAATCAAACCCCCTAATTTTTTGGACAGTGGTAGAAGATAATCATTTATATCATTAATGCCATATACTACTGGAAACATAGGCCTTAGAATAAGTGCTTTTTGGGGAAGGTAGGATTAAATCCAAGAATACTCTGTGAGCTACATCTTTGAGGCAGGGGCTGGCTAAATTGCCCAGGTTGGGCTCCAACTTAAAATTCTGCTTCAGCTCTAGAGTAGTCGTAATAATAGGCACGTGTCAACATGCTCAGTGAATAATTGCTTTTTAGAAGATGAAACAAATTTCAGTAGATGTATGTCAGAATATTTTTTTTGAGAGATTTTTAATAAATATTTTATTTATTAAAAATAAATATTTAATATTTATTTTTCTGTTTTCAGCGGACACAACATCTTATGTGGTGCTGAGGATCGAACCCAGCGCCCCACACATGCCAGGCGAGCCCGTTACCGCTTGAGCTACATCCCCAGCCCAGAATGTATTCTTTTTATATTCATCCTTTTTTTTGTGTGTGTGTGGTGCCAATGATTGAACCTAGAGCCTTACACATGCTTGGCAAATGCTCTATCACAGCCTCATAATTTTTTTTCTTTCTTTTGAGATGGGTCTCACTGTGTTGCCCAGATGGGTCTTTTACTTCTGGGCTCAAGTGGTCCTCCCACATCAGACTCTCAAGCCACTGCTCCAATAGTGTAATGTTTTGTATAATAGTAAACACACTATTTTTGCTATTTTTTAAAAAGTCTACTATTAATTGTTTTAAGAAAAATATAGTGATTTTTGTTAAAATAGTTATAGCCCAATATTTAATTTAACTTACAACTCATTACAGCCTCACCTCATGGATCATAATTTCAGGGCCTCTGAAATTACAGTTGGTGGTACCTATAGGAGAGAAGGAGTAGGTAGGTAGTTTTTTCTCTTTAGTACCATTTATTGAGTGCCATATGACAACTGTACTTTGTCTAGTTTCCGTATTTATATATGTACAATGTGTTAGAGTCTTTAACTTTAGAAGACCGAGCATGTCAACTGATGAATGTTTTAGGGCATATATCTCTTTTAAAACATAGCCATAATAGAACACAAGTTCTGTTCTGAAAACTACTTCCTGTATTAAAACGGGGAAATTTTGGTTGCAGTTTGAGAAGCAAGAAAAATATAAAGAAAGAGGAACTGAATTAAAGGCCACATTTTACAGCTTTTGAAGTGTGGAATGTGGTTGTGGTATGATATAACATTGTTGAGAAATTGATTTATAAAAAATCTTATTACAATTTTGTGGTAATGTTTGATTTTAGAGATTTCTGGTTCTCTTTTAAAAAATTGAATAAGAAATATTTTTTATTTTGTTCCAACATGAATAAAGCATCTCAAAAAATGGTGTATATTATTCCTTATCTGGGAGTAACAAAACAATATTGGTAATTAGCATCCTGTGAGTCTTAAATAAGAATCTGAAG